GATCTGACAGTGACTGCTTATTTTAGGATCATGTTCTGGCAAGTTTTAATTAGCCAATGGAAATGCAGCTTTCATAAATCTGAAAGTGATCAAATCGTTTGGCACACATTGACGCTCTTTAACCATTCTGCTCATTCTCCCAAATCAAAGATTTAAGACATAATCAGATTGGCTCATAAAATTAGTGGTAATAATATAGATCACATGACCATGACCCCTGAGTGGTCACTATTGGATCTTCACATAGGACAGTGGAGATCTGATTTTAATCAGATTACCCTCTGAGTGATGCATCAGTTGATTAGGAAGTTTTCCCCAATTATCACTCATTGGACTCACAATAAAAAGATTTTATAATGGCATAAAGTCCATGAAAATCCTTTCTCTTTCTGAAAATAGCTATGGTACCAGACCAGACCTCTTGCTTCTTCCTCAATTCTCCATGGCAGAGGAAAATTAAGAAGTTCTTCGCGGGCCAAAATCTCACTCAGCAGCAATGAGGTTGGTCCTTTTCCTTCCTTGATGTTGAGATCCCAGGTCTCTACAGCCAGCTACTGGATAATTTCCTTGAAGTGGCCTGTTAAGCCACCCCAAACAGATGCTGGTTTGTCCAAAGAAAGAGAAAAATGAGTACTTTCAATGGAACCATTGCATGCATTCCCATAAAAATAATTGAGACTATGCAAAAGAAAGCTAGGTTACTCTTCACTATAGCTTTGCATATTTATATCATTTCATCTGCATTGTTTAGTATACTGAGAAAGTCCTTAGAGGCATGCCAAGGCATCCAGACATGCAGTTTCTCTGACATTATGGGTGAAATTTCTACATATCTGCTGTAATGTTGTATTGGACTCTTCAAAGGTGTTGCTTAACCATAAAGTAAAAGACCTTCTAAGGGCTGCTCCATTCTAAGCCATTAAGCCCTTCCTTTGGGGACTTATCCCTTAAGTGGCTCCTTAAGACTTGATGAATCATCAGCAAAATCCCTTTCCAGTCACTCCTTAGGGAACCAAATCCTCTCTTGCTATCCATTCCTCTCCAGTCATCCCTGTAGGTGCTCATCTATGTCTCTTCAACAGCTTTGTTGACCATCATGGACAATGCTTTGGTCTTTTTTCCATCAATAACCAGAGTTACCAAATCTAATTCAATTCTACAAAACAGTGTGCACATCCTCCTTAATTTTCAAAAGATTGGAATGGGGGTCTTTGAGAGAGTGGGTTACTCTCTCAAAGACCCCATTCCAATCTTTTGAAAATTAAGGAAGATGTGCACACCCTTTTGCAGAATGGAGCAGTCCAGATGGTCCTGATTGATCTCGCATTCTATTCCTGAATCTTCCTGGTTACCAAAAAAGTCTGAAAGTTTTGCATTATAATTGATTCAACTTTAGAGAAACCTTTATTGCCTAACTGCACAGCAAATACCTCTGGTTGTTGTTGTTGTTGTAGGGTTTAATGCCATTTTTCAGCACAAGATAGGCTATACATGGTGGCCAGTATTAATGGTGGAGGAAGAACCCTGAAAAAGCCCAGGAAAGAACCACTGACCCACGAGAAGCTACTGGCAGACTTTCTCACTTAGCTGAGTTTGGACTCAACTCACACAGACTGAGGTGAGATGGCAGTGATCCATAACGGTCAGCACTTTAGACCACTCGGCCACTCAAATACCTCTGGTTTTGCTTAGACCAGAAATTTCTTTTTGTTCCTGGTTCTCCTATTCAGAATCTCCTTTTCATCAAAAGTCTACACTTGAGTTGTGGGAGTAATAGTGGCATACCTTCAATATCTGAAACACAAACTTTCCAGTAGTTAGATGACTAGCTGATCCATAACATTCAGGTTCAGTTCTTCTACAAGGATCTGTTCCATTGTTTGTCCACAGCCATGAAAAAACCTAGAACTCATTCCATTTCATGACTTTGTATATATCTGAATGAATTTCCTCATGAACTTAACCCAGATACTGTAACTTAATTGCAATGAAGAGATTTTGATTGTAAAAGATAACGAACAGAGAAATTTGTGATGAAGGGATTTTGATTGCAAAAAGTAATGAAAAGACAAGCTCAATAAAAGGACACTATGCCTTTCTATATGAACAGTTTAATTAGACTCTTAATTTATGACATATTTCTTTGGGTTTGCAAACTAGAAATAAAAAAACCCATCTGGTAGGTAATCATGATTAAAAACAGGGTATTTCCTGGGAAACTGGGAAATATGTGTATAACAGGTAACATCAAGTAATGCTGTTAAATTATAATGCAGAATGCTGAGAAACAATTACCAGTGAGGTAAAATCATTCAATATTAAGCTGAAATCAATAGTAATTAACTAACAAATAGGAAACTTATTTTGTGGAAAAATTAGTGTTTGGAACCAAAATCAGGGGCCATTACACTTACACGATGATCCAGAACATTCAAAATCACACTCAGCTAATCCATCATTATTATGTTGTGCATCAAGCTTGAATAAAATCCAGTAAAAAAAAGGGAGCCACTGCATTGTTAGGATAAAATACAATAAGTGTTGTGCAGAAACAAAAGTGGGTGGATTGGACAATCTGGGCCATACCTCTGCTGAATGATGATGTAGAATGATGACAATAGAAGGCAGCCAAGAACTAAACAAAAACAAGCAAAAATGTATGTATGTATGTATGTATGTATGTATGTATGTATGTATGTATGTATGTATGTATGTATGTATGTATGTATGTATGTATGTATGTATGTATGTATGTATGTATGTATGTATGTATGTATGTATGTATGTATGTATGTATGTATGTATGTATGTATGTATGTATGTATGTATGTCTGTACATACATACATAAATACATATGTATGTATGTATATATATGTATGTATGTACATATGATGCATGTATGTATGATGCATGCATGTATATAGATATATATGTATGTATGTATGTATGTATGTATGTATGCATGTATGTATGTATGTATGTATGTATGTATGTATGTATGTATGTATGTATGTATGTATGTATGTATGTATGTATGTATGTATGTATGTATGTATGTATGTATATATGTATGTATGTATGTATGTATGTATGTATGCATGCATGCATGTATCATGCATGCATGCATGCATGCATGCATGTATGTATGTATGTATGTATGTATGTATGTATGTATGTATGTATGTATGTATGTATGTATGTATGCATGTATGATGCATGCATGTATGTATGCATGTATGTATGTACAGTATGTATGTATGTATCTATGTATGTATGTATGTATGTATGTATGTATGTATGTATGTATGTATGTATGTATGTATGTATGTATGTATGTATGTATGTATGTATGTATGTATGTATGTATGTATGTATGTATGTATGTATGTATGTATGCATGTATGATGCATGCATGTATGTATGTATGTATGTATGTATGTATGTATGTATGTATGTATGTATGTATGTATGTATGTATGTATGTATGTATGTATGCATGCATGTATGATGCATGTATGTATGTATGTATGTATGTATGTATGTATGTATGTATGTATGTATGTATGTATGTATGTATGTATGTATGTATGTATGTATGTATGTATGTATGTATGTATGTATGTATGTATGTATGTATGTATGTATGTATGTATGTATGTATGTATGTATGATACATATATGGATGAATGGATGGATGGATGTATGGACGGATGGATGGATGGATGAACAGGGCTAAATGGCACATTAATACCATCCTGGTTCTATAGAGCTAAGTAATGCCACTTACTTATCTTAACCAAAAAATATCTTTTAAAACTTGCAATAATGGCAAAATAGAATAATATCTTGCAAAACTATTTAGGTCAGGTGAGCCTCAGTTCAACAGAAGGGTCAAAATATTAACCTTTCTTAAGTCTCTTCTGTTTCATTTAAATGGAATTGTTGTAACTCTAATACATACATTCATGCTAACTTGAGATAATATACATGTTATGACATGCTAAATAGAGATAATATACATGTTATGACATGCTAAATAGAGATAATATACATGTTATGACATGCTAACTTAAGATAATATACACATTATGACATGCTAATTTAAGATAAAATACACATTATGACATGCTAATCTAAGATAAAATAGTCATTATGACATGCTAACTTAAGATAATATACATGTTATGACATGCTAACTTAAGATAATATACACATTATGACATGCTAATTTAAGATAAAATACACATTATGACATGCTAATCTAAGATAAAATAGTCATTATGACATGCTAACTTAAGATAATATACATGTTATGACATGCTAACTTAAGATAATATACATGTTATGACATACTAATTTAAGATAATATACATGTTATGACATGCTAACTTCAGATAATATACATGTTATGACATGCTAACTTAAGATAATATACATGTTATGACATGCTAACTTCAGATAATATACATGTTATGACATGCTAACTTAAGATAATATACATGTTATGACATGCTAACTTAAGATAATATACATGTGATGACATGCTAACTTCAGATAATATACATGTTATGACATGCTAACTTAAGATAATATACATGTTATGACATGCTAACTTCAGATAATATACATGTTATGACATGCTAACTTAAGATAATATACATGTTATGACATGCTAACTTCAGATAATATACATGTTATGACATGCTAACTTAAGATAATATACATGTTATGACATGCTAAATAGAGATAATATACATGTTATGACATGCTAACTTAAGATAATATACTCATTATGACATGCTAACTTAAGATAATATACATGTGATGACATGCTAACTTCAGATAATATACATGTTATGACATGCTAACTTAAGATAAAATACACATTATGACATGCTAACTAAAAAAAAGATAATATACCCCTTCAGAACTTAAGATAATATTATTAAGTTTTACATTTTAAGTATAAAGTTTTTTGAAAGGTCATGGAAAGAAATTTTGCTCTTGTGGCCTAGTGGTTAGAGTGTCTGCCTTGGATGTGGGAGATTGTGGGTTTCAAACCCCAGCCAAGTCATACCAAAGACTTGTAAAAATGGTACTAACAGCTGCCTCACTTGGCACTCAGCATTATGAGGTTAGTGTTAGGACTGGTCGGTCTGGTGTCAAAATAATGTGACTGGATGGGACATCATGGAACATGTCTGTGGCATGATGCCCCAGTGCTAGAAATCACTATAAACTGCCACACTGCAGACATCATAGTGATATAACTGAAATATTGTCGAAAGCTATGTTAAAAATCCATATCACAAACACACATGCATGCATAACACCCACTACTCAAATACATCTTCAAACCTGCCTTAAAGAATATCTATTTACGAAGAACACATATCCATACATGAAACTGTCATGACTTTCTAGGAATAATCCTTATATAGCTGTATGGTATATAAAGACCACTTCAATAATGCACACAGATGGTGCTTACATATAGCTGTCTGGTATATAAAGACCACTTCAATAATGCACACAGATGGTGCTTACATATAGTTGTATGGTATATAAAGACCACTTCAATGATGCACACAGATGGTGCTTACATATATCTGTATGGTATATAAAGACCACTTCAATAATGCACACAGATGGTGCTTACATATAGCTGTATGGTATATAAAGACCACTTCAATAATGCACACAGATGGTGCTTACATATAGCTGTATGGTGTATAAAGACCACTTCAATAATGCACACAGATGGTGCTTATATTTGTTAAAAATGTGTTTATTTCCACTATATATAAAGGGCATTATTAAAGGATAACATTTATAAACTGTCAAATATAGTTGATTTCTATGTGCACCTGTTCAAAGCTTTGCATAAATTAAATTGTTGGGATTATGCTAACGATGTTAATGAATATGCATTTATACCATTCACTCATGATATGGAATGGAAGATTTTTTTTCATATACATAAAACTTTGGTTAAAACATGTGGATAAAGTGAAAGTACATATAAAACGTTTTTGATATCAATGGCACCTGTCTATAAGAAAAGTTTTTTTCTATCACTATAGATAGACTTCATTGCTTCATTTAAGTAACTTTTATTTTTCTATAGGTAAATGCTTAAAAAATTTAATCTGAATGTAATATACAAGTCATACTTCTGTTAAACCCTTTCAGGTAACAGAGCCCATTTAAACTGTTATCAGAAACTAAATTTTTCTCTTATCTTTAAATATGCTCTGAGTGCCATGTTGATTTAAATTTATAAGAAGAGTTTCCAAAATGTGTGGATAATAAAGGGCCCACAACTGAGCATAAAGACCTAATAAGTCCTAGTAATTTATGACTCTGTTGTTGTCATTTAAAATTAAGGACCTAATAAGTCTAATAATTTAGGACTCTGTTGTTGTCATTTAAAATTAAGGACCTTATAAGTCTAATAATTTAGGACTCTGTTGTTGTCATTTAAAATTAAGGACCTAATAAGTTTAATAATTTAGGACTCTGTTGTTGTCATTTATATTAAGGACCTAATAAGTCTATAATAATTTAGGACTGTTGTTGTCATTTAAAATTAAGGACCTAATAAGTCTAATAATTTAGGACTCTGTTGTTGTCATTTAAATTAAGGACCTAATAAGTCTATAATAATTTAGGACTCTGTTGTTGTCATTTAAATTTAAGGACCTAATAAGTCTAATAATTTAGGACTCTGTTGTTGTCATTTAAAATTAAGGATCTAATAACATGCCAGAATTGTGTAGATTTCTTAAGTCTAGATAATTTAGGACTCTGTTGTTGTGATATAATCTATTATAATCAGTATATATACCTTTATTTCCTGTAACCCTATGCTCCTTAGAACATTCATGTCAGAAACAAGGTATGGGTCTGATCTTGCCAAATCATGATGTATTTGGGATTCAACAATGCTCCTTGGAGTCAATCAGATTATTTCTGCACATTTCAGAATCTTTCATGATTAACAAATCTAACTAAAACAGCAAAACAATAACATGAAGTGTCTACTAAAAGTTTACTATAACATAGCGATGTAGTGAAAAATCAATATTACATACCTTGAGCATCAACAGTTCTGTTATTTCTCAATTTGACTGACCAATGGATGGAAAATATACATATGACAATCAGTTAAATTCAGCAAATTTCAGTCTGTGTGAAAGACAGTCTACACTTGTATAACTTAAAGATGCCTATTGTCATGAAAAGGTATCGCATGTTAAACCTTTACTGAATGAGAAATGATTAAGATATATATAGACACACTAGACTGAGGTGGCTGACAAAACTCATTACACTGAGCACAAGTAGAAGCTGCTCTCCTGAATTCAACATTATAACAGCAGACTGTGTCTTATGTAAAATCAATACAAATTAATGTACCAGTTTTCAGTCTTACCTTTGTCATAATCAGCCCAGATGACCTAAACTCACTGATCTAGAAACACATTAATATGAGCAGGAAAGTAGAAATTTATTGTAATGACAGTAAAATGAAAGGAAAAAAATGCAACCATGTGAGGAAAATGTACATTTTAAACTCCAAAGAGTATTTTCTATTTGCTTTTAAAACTGTTAGTGCATGTTATGATGTGACGTAAAAGACCAGTGTATGTTATGATATGACATAAAAAGACCAGTGTATGTTATGATGTGACATAAAAAGACCAGTGCATGTTATGATGTGACATAAAAAGACCAGTGTATGTTATGATGTGACATAAAAAGACCAGTGTATGTTATGATGTGACATAAAAAGACCAGTGTATGTTATGATGTGACATAAAAAGACCAGTGTATGTTATGATGTGACATACAAATACCAGTGCATGTTATGATGTGATGTAAAAGACCAGTGTATGTTATGATGTGACATAAAAAGACCAGTGTATGTTATGATGTGACATAAAAAGACCAGTGTATGTTATGATGTGACATAAAAAGACCAGTGTATGTTATGATGTGACATAAAAAGACCAGTGCATGTTATGATGTGACATACAAATATCAGTGTATGTTATGATGTGACATAGAAAGACCAGTGCATAAGTTCTCATAAACCAAATAGAATGATCATAAATCCAAGATGCAAATTTTGGACAATTGTTTAACTAAAATTGTACCAAAAGTACACTTTTTATAAACCCTGATAAAGATGAGCTTTTGGTGATGGATGCACTAAAGTGCATTACAATTACATTACAATTTGACCATTAAGCCCTTAGACAGAGGAACTTATTTAACAATTTGCCCATTAGGGCCTTAGACAGAGGAAAGTATTTAACAATTTGCCCATTAGGGCCTTAGACTGAGGAACCTATTTAACAAATTGCCCATTACGGCCTTAAACACATGGACTTGTGCATACTCAAGTTTGTAGAGGGCATCATGGAATATTGATTTTTTCAACTAACTGAACTTCTTTAAAGGCGACCAAATCCCTTCCCTCTCTTAATATCCTTATTTCTGTCATCAGTGCCAGATCCTCTGCCCATCTCTAAGTCTTTTCCATATTACAAAAATACCTCCATAAAGCTTATTTTCTGTGTATGTTATATATTTTCACGTATATTTAACGTACTAGCAGAATGCATTTATACATGTGCTTGTGTCTATTCTACTTTCAGTTAGATGCCATCATAAATTTTCTCACTAACATCAAGTTTTCTTGTTGGTGCAACATTGCATTTGTTCATTAACACACCGTTTTAAAAAAAATATAAAACAACAGAAAGTAATAAATTATCACATAGGTGATTATATACATACAACTTACCCCTGTACATTGCAGCAATCAAGGTAAAAATTATCATGCTAAAAGTACACTGAAACTAAAAAATTTTTTAATGATGAAATGTTGACACATGTGACATTGAATCAAATACAAAATACAAAATACAATGAGCATTACACTGTATTCCACCAGCACCAAATTGTATAGCCCTCTATCTAGGTATCAAAAGGGCTGTTAACTCTAGAGATTTTTTTACCAATGGGTCTCAGTGAGCTTGGCTTGTGGTAAATATATGCTGTCTTGAAAAAATATTTACTCAGCAGAATTAATTATTTTATTAAACTTATCTATAATGTTTATATCTGATCTTCAAACCAAAATATCTGTTTCTTTCTTGACTTTAATGCCATCCATCAAAATGTTTAGTCAAAAACATACTCCACTCTGTTTACAAAAGTTTTGTGCCATAGCAATTTTTCTTTGAGTACAAGTCAGCACTCTAAATTAGTAACAGTCTGCAAGTCCAAGAGTAGAAAATTTCCTGTCAGACTAGAAGATTTTACAATTTCAATAAACTAGTGGCTAATAAAATTTTAATTGCTACCAGTCAGCACTTGCTGAAAGGAATAGTGAAGATACAGCTGGGCTAGTAAATTTCTCCATCTAGTTGTCATTCTGGCTACAAAGAAATGTTTATTAAATTCAAGGCCTTATAATGACTTTCATCTTTGATTGTTTGACCTGCAAATCAATAGTCATCTTCCTGAACCTAAGTGCAGCCTTCTGCAAACTTTGGCCAAGGTGTGTGATTTAGATCTTCCTTTTCACAGTGACCTTGATATTTGACCTTAAGACTCCAAAATCAAAAGGCTCTTTAATTATTCAAAGTGCAAGCCTTTCACAAAATATAAAGTAAATGGATAAAAACACATTTTTATGCAAAAACCAGTTTTCATTTTTTCAGTCAATGACCTTGACCTATGACCTTTGATACAAATATCAATTGATTTCTTCTTCATTCAGGTGAAGCCCATAATTAAGGTCTGTGATGAAGAATGTAAGTATGTTATATATAGGCTATCAGTGTTCAATCCAAAAATAGAAAAGCTGGTGCCTGAAGTGAATAGAAATCTGTGCAAGATTTGAAGGAACAATCTACATGTATTAAAATGGAATTGGCATGTAAAGAGCTCTTGGGGTTTATTGACAGAAAAGATATGAATACCATTAAATATTTCAGACCAGTGTCACGGTCTCAATTGCACTTACATTCAGACTGAGACAATGACTGATTACATCATCACT